CTCAAGAACGAAGGAAGTCAGCGAACCCTTCCAGAGACCGAGCCAACCTTCCTTTCCACGGCCCACAGCTTTCATCATCTCCCACACGCCTCCTATAACTATGACTGGCATTACAAACTCAGGACGCGCGCCTTGGTCGTACACGCTCTTGCGCATCACATAGCCGGAAGCATCCACCATGCGTCTCTTCTTGCGACCGGAGTAGAGCGAAGTATCCGGACGAGTCGGCCTCGAGGTTACATCACGGAAGTAGGCATCGACGTCCTCCTCATCTGAGATTTCAGCATCAATCATCTCCTCCTCCGCTTCAGCATCCTGAGCGGTGGCCTCGTCGTCCCACTCATTAGCCTCGGGTGCAACTTCCTGCTCCCAAGCTTCAGGCTCTTCGCTGTCCTGGATCTCACGTGGCGGTCTTGTCTGCTGTGGCTTTGTGATTGTGCGTCGTTGTGCAAGCGCTGCTTGTTGCGTGAGCTGCAGCCAAACATCGTCCCTGGGCACCCACTGCACTTGCAGCAGAAGCTTACCGACCTCGAAAGGCATGGCAAGGCAAGTGCTAGTGCACTGGAGTGCTCCGCTGATGAGAAGGGCGCGGAAGATGTCTGAAATGCTGATGTCTGTCTCGCCAAAGCCGCCGGTTGATGTGGTTGCAACATAGGGCTTTGCATCGTTCGATGAGATGTATCGGTTCGAGTCTGGTTTCATGGGAGCAGTAGCGGCCCCGAAGGCTTTGGATGATGAGCCGGCAGAGGCGTCTCCAGAAGACCGAGAGGCAGCACCCGGGATGCCAGTGGTGCTGAAACGGGGAGCAGTAGCGATGAAGACAGAGTCCTCAGGTGGCTGATAGTAAGGCCGAAGCGGGTGGGCCTGCTGGGCACTGCCGGCCGGCGGAGGTTGCGCTGCCATGGCTGCTGGTGAAGATCACTTGAGTACTGTCTTGCTGCGGAGGATCACAAGAGAGTTGCTGACGAGCGGGAAGAGGCTTGGTCGTATTGGTGGTGATAGTGATAGTGATAGTGATAGTGATAGTGATGCTGGTCAAAGAAGTATGTGTTGGAGTGTGCTGAGTGAGAGCGCTAGATGGACTCCTCGATTGCGCTTTCCGTTGGTGTTGAGCGCGTGGAGGTGTTGGTCCGAATAAAAATTTGGGCTGCCGCGAAAGATTTGAAGGTCTAACAAATCTCACCTCGCAGCGAGAACAAAGCGTTAACATGTCGACGTCAAAGAACGCCGCGCTCCATCCTTCTACGACCCACCGCTACAGCTGTGCTCGTACATGGCGCAGGAGTCCGGCGTACAGAATCTTCAAATCCTAATCTCAAGTCTGTGCAGCGAGCTTGTCGCTCTTGCAGCTTCCCTTGCTCCGTGGTAATGCCATCGGTAAGGCAATGTTGAAGAGCTTTCTATCCCGGGTGGCTAAATCTGCCCAAATGAAGTCTCTCCATTCGACGAAAGCGAGCCTTGTGAACGGTCAAACTTATGATAAAAGCTTATATACCCAAGATAGGACAGTTTGCCGCGATGTTGCAAGTTTTCCGGGGTAACCCATTCACCACTCCCCTTCGACCCTCGATTCAGGAAGGATAGCAAGCTTGCGATGTTCCAGCTGCATTCAGAGCATCTACTCTTCGTCTTAGGCTGCTGCCTCGGCATGCAACTCTGGTGGCTTTGCAACCAGATTGTCTTGCTCGGATTTTGCATCCTAATCCTGCTTTTACTACTCAACATAGCCCAACGCAGCCACGAAGACCGGGGGGATCCCGAGGCCCTTTTTGAAATCAGCAACTTCCATCTCGAAGCACCTGGGACACCGGATCGGTCTGTCTATTCTCGTGAACGCTTGAGACTCGATCAGGCAAGCGATGTCATTACGACACACGGCTATGATGGACCTCGCATATCAATTGACCACCTTTGGATCCAAGCACACAGAGCAGGACTCTCCACCGAGACACAATCAAATGGAGGCTTCTCGCACGTCGATGCGAGCGTGAGCTCAAGCTCCTGTCAAGCCAGCAAGTCTATATGTTCTTTTTTCTTACGGACATCGCCATCTGGACAACGAAGTCTCCATCGCCCGACTAACATGGCTAGAAACCAACGGGCTGCAGTGCTCTACTGGCTTCAAAATGTTGGCAAGGACACGACGCAGACTGATCTCGCAGAAAGTACTACTCTCTACGGATTTCCCCTCCCTCTCACCACCCGATTTTTGGCCGATCATTGCAGCACTTTTGAAGGAGGCCTGTAAAGCACCCAAGCTCATCTTGACGCAGCCGGATACAGCTCGTTGTCAGACTTTTTCAATTCCACGAAGAAAGCTGAGCTATGTGGCCTCCTTCATCCGTCCAAACGAGCTAAAGCATCGAACAATTCCACTGCAACCTCATACACGCCGACTCACGAAAGACGAAGATGACGAAACGGGAACTCCGCCTTGAGCAGCATAGGTCTGCATCGCCCGAGGAAGTCGTGACGTCGATTGACCCATCCGAAGGCTTAGGTCCTTACTCGGAGTATCAAGCTCACTGTGCGACGGCATCGCGTAACGGGGACAAGCGATCTACAAGTGAGAGCGCACACGTTATCGATGGCGTATCGCACGAGGTCTCATGCATTCGCACAGACGTCTCTCGAGCCTACGTCCCGACTCAGTCGTGTGCGAGCAATGAGAGAATTGCCGAGATAAAGGGGGACGAAGATGCACTCACTAAGGTCTTGAATACGCTACGCAGCCAACGTCTGTCCACTCCAGTCATTGTGCAGTCGAACCGACGCTTTATCGGCGAGGCCACGCCTGCAAAGCTAGGGCCTGAGGCGGAGGCGGTTGCATATCCTGACAACGATGTCAGAGACCCCGAAGAGCCTGAGGACACGATCCGGCTGATCTCACCCAAGAAGCGTGTCGAACCCTCACACGAAGCGTCGAGCAGACGAATTCTGGAGCTAGCGGCTCGGCTCAACGCCTAGCACGTTCACACACACACGCACACAAGGGCATGTTTGGGAGACAAACCATGATGGTGTTTACATTTCGTTCAGCAGACCAGGATAGTGGCCGACCTCCAGGGATAGGGTGAAACGCCTTAGCTGGCTGGTATCGAGAATCAATCGTTTGGGATATGGTAGGAGGACTGAATAGCGCGAGCATTGTCAACTATTGCTTGTCCTTGATGGGGACATCCTTGCCAGTGAGCTTCTTACTGTTGCATGCAACCGATTGTTGAAAAAAGTAAATCAATGTAATCAGTTAAGGTCCACCCAAAAGGCTGTGTGAACGTTGATGAAGATGAACTTACAAGCCGGATCGGATGCCGTCGGAGACCTTCTCAACGGTTCCGGCGTTCTGCTCGTGGCCAGCCTTCTTGGAGCCGAACGCAACAGCCTTGTCGAGAGTGTCCTGCTGAGGAGCACCAGTGTTTTGACCAGGGGCGGACATTTCGAAAACTTGGGTTGGTGTTGGTGTCGGTGTTGTTGTTACGGGAAGGAAGTGAGCAAGAGATGTTTGGTGTGGGTGGACGAGAAGGAACCGGACGAAGACAGTGTTTATATATTCTTCAAGGCCATCTTGGACTCAAAGAGTTTAGCAGGCACTTCAGCGCAGGCAGCTTTACTCGGGCAGCCCCGTTGCTCGACTCAGGACGGCAGCGCACGTTGTTCTCACTCCTTGCGTGTGGACTCTACGGGTAAAGGTCTCGATGAGGCAATGTCGAGGCCCAATATAGCTCGAGGGTACAGACACCTATTCACGCCATCATCTTGCCAAAGCACGTGGCACAGTTGCAAAGCTAGCCGAGGTCGCAGGACAAGTACAAACATGTTACACGCGGGTTAGAGGCCCAGTTTGACACAGCCAAACCTCCACATTCCGTATCGCATTCTCGTGTTACAGTATCAAAAAAAGAACCTGGTGAGAAAGGGGACGGAGTTTCGGTAATTGAGAGCTCGGTCTTCGGTCGGACAGCCCACGGGAAGGTCGCAGCAGCAGCCATGGCCTGTGCGCCCTCTGAGACAAGCAACGTGACGCTCAGATTGCGTTGATAGCTGCACAATGGCATTGGACAGTCGTTGGTACTCCCTCAATATGGTGACGAAATCTAGCATTCGATATCACCTTGCTCACTGCCCTCGATTCTCTGTGGGCGCAAGATCCGACACAAGCGAGGAAAGTGCCCGACACAGTGTATCCGAGTGCACATGGAGTCCTGAGCGTGGTCCGTTGCGACGGATGCTTCCAGCGATCGATAGGATTGTGCTCGGGAAGCGCGAAGCCGCCGGGCTGTGCTTTGCACCCCGACTAAGTTTCATGCCTGACTGTGTCTGCAAACCTCATCTCGAGACCTTCGATGGCGCATTATGTGTCAACACACCTGTGCTCACACAATGATGTCTTGCTACGTCAGGATGGTGCGGATGCAAGCAGCATCCACAAATTGTTAATTCGAGCCTTGTTGGACTCTCGGTGCCTGCATTAGACGCTGCGTTTTGACCCTCATCGTCTCACGGTTCCGTAACGATGGACTTAGGCCAAAGGTTAACCACGTTTGCTCGACAGTTTGGCTGCTAGCCTTTGTGCATGATGGTGTTGCAAAGTGAAGAAGTTTTGTTCCGATAACTGGCAATTGGGGAGAGTCTGAGTACGATGTCACTGCTGTTTTAGACTGAAACATATATACTCAATTGACTGAGGAAAGAATGTGGCGGGAGCCTCGAGCTCCCCGCTAGATATGTTTACAAAGATGCGGCACATACCAAAGGTGGGAGCATTCCCCTTAATGACCAAGTATGACAACGAGCGGGACGTAGTTGTACCCGATCTTCACCTGATCTCCTATCAGATCGGCTTTGCCCGATTACTTTATCGTATCCGCTTACGTCAACTCGCATCATCATATTGGATCGTTTCCCTCAGCAGATGGTACCAAGAGTTCAATTTGCCTGCAAACCTGTACACTAGCAGCCAGACAAGATAGCGTTGGACAGACAGAAGAAAAAATTGAACATGACCCCAACCCGATTTGAACGGATGACCTTTGGAAAATTCCAATTAGGACTGGAAGCCAACGCTCCACCGCTGAGCTATAGGGCCAGTGCATCGTAATTGGTAACATTTGCATATATGTTCAAAAGATAGTAAGAACGACTGTTTCGTTCATGGATTTCGGAAGTCTCGTCCAAGCCAGGGTCAAGAAAGTCAATTTGGAAGATTGGCTCAGCTTGGAAGGAGCGGTGTTCACTTGCATACAGGCTCCTTTAACCTTCGCAAATCCCCTCACACATTAGCAAGACGACGTGCAACTGCATCATATCAAGGGAAGAAAGATGAGTGCATCAGCAGCTGCAGCATCAGCAGCACCACGAGTGCTCTACCGGGGCCCGCCTGGCTTGAAGAAAGCGATCTACTACTTCATTGGGACCGTCTTCACAGGAGCTGGTTGCTATCAGGGCTTCCTCCTTACACAACATCTCAGCTGGCCCATCTTCACACGAGATCCAGAGAAAACCAAGTTGGCACCGCCGATGCTACGATACACAGCAGGAACTGCCGTCGCTGTAACGGCTGTTGGATTGGGAATGTTCTTCTTCTGGACCCCGTCGCGACTTTCGACACGGGTGACATTATACCCAGCTACATCACAGATTGGCATTCGAACAGCAGCACCACCATTCCGCGCCTTTTTGCCTCCATCCATGCGCTCGCGAAGAAGCGCACCGCTCAACCCGAAAGATCAGAGTGAACGATTCCATCCACTGGATGCACTCTACCGACGAGGCAGGACATCGGCGGTAGAGATCGAAAAGTTCGCACAGGGCAAAGGCAGGCGTGTAGCATCAGCAAGTTCGAGCAAGCGACAGAATGTACCATCATCCCTCTTGCTGGGAGAGGACGTCACATTTGGCTACCAGCTCGAGGCCGCGCCCACACCGCTTTTCGAGACGAACGCGAAGAATCTGTACACCCACTGGTCGCGATTCAAACTCAGTCTCCGTGGCGAGACGGACTGGTCTAGGGTTGCGGGCGAGCACGAACTGACGCCAGCCGAGAGGACAGCAAAGAGTCAGTTGCATCCCAAAAATCCTTGGTTCTTGGACCGCAAGAACTTTGACAATCTGTTCCCAGTCAGGACCTACGGCTCAAAGTCACAGTAAAGTGTCCGCTTCCGGATCAGATCGGATTCTCAGCGCAGCACCTCTCTTGTCATCTATCATATGTAATTTATCACAGCAAACGCTCAGCAATACCGCTTTCTAACGTACTGCCTTTGTACGGACTCCGATGCTGTGATCGTTACTCATTGTATTGAAGAAGAGGAGAATGCGGATCATTGCTCTTTGACGTACTTATACTTTTCGTACAACTCTTCGGCGCGCGGACAGCCGGCAAAGAGCTCGCGGAGCTTGGCTTGGTTCAGATATGTGATCGTTCCAGTGGAAGCCCGGCGTGACGACTTCAGAGATCAGGGCGCCCACCCTTGATCCGTCTGCACTTCCGTTTTCGGCTGCCTCGCGATCTTCCTCAGGAACCTCGCTGACCTTCCACCAACCCCCCTCTACTAGCAGTTGTCGCACCTCGCCCTTCGCAATGTCATCACCCATCACTATCGTCTTCATGAGTGGATGACCGGTTTCGTCCACGAGACCTTTGCCCAGCGGTGCTCTGGCAGATATGAGAGTTTACTTGGACCTACCTGCGTGGTGAACGTGCATTGTAGACGACTTGTTGAGGTGCAAGACGCCGATGTCGCTTGACCAGGTCTTGAACGAATCAGGCTCATCCGAGTCGTCGGTATGAGAAGGCCTGTCGGGGCATCCAGGGGACTTGTGACATAGTAGATAGTAGATGCAGGTAGCAATGTTGCGCTCCTCGTCATCGGAAGCGAAAGGAGACTTCATCTTCTCCATCACAAAGGTGACCGCATAGTAGCCGCCTTCTGGATGGGGTTCCAGTTTGTAGTGTCGAATCAGCTCCTCGTTTGTCTGTGGGTAGTAGTACTGTTGCGGCATATTGGATGGTGCCAAAGAGTGCTGTTCAATGATGCCCGGAGAAGGAAGGCAGACTGCAAAGCGTCGATATCGAAACGTTATGTCTCTCCGACCTTCTTCTGGGCCCTGAATCATCAAACGCCTGGAACGTGTGCCGATAGGCAACGTCGACCTTGAGAAAACAGATCTTCAGACGCTCAAACCTGGCACAGAGACTGATTCGTTCAGCTCGATTCACAGCGCTCCGTACTATCTATCACACACAGGTCAGAGCAGCATTGGAGGAGGCTCATAAAGCATGCTTTAGGACAATTGCTTTCAGCCGGGAATGAGAGCAAGTCGCTTCGGCTCGTTCCTTCTTGAAGTGGAGGTGTGCTTTCCGAAAAAATTGCCTTTTTGTGTGCTGCACAGCCAAGAAACAGCTCTGCAAACGCAGTTGTAAGTTCAGGTCAGTCGTGCGTGGCGTGTGTCAAGAAACTGAGCTCAGACAGTTGAAGTTTTCGTGTGATTGATGATGATAGTTCTAAATACAAATGCGAGTCAAGTATCTTCAAGTTTTCGCCACTCGCGCACGCTCGGAACGCACGCACGCGTGCGCTGCTGAGCCCCTTTTGCGCAAGCCTTTTACTCGGCCGTAAACACTTTCTCCGCAGTCTCTACGCTTTGTGCAGCTTTATCTACTTCAACTCCCCCCCTCAACAGCATATGTACCCTGTTCATTATGCTGTTGTTTCAAGGTGCGACCTCTGTTCTTCAATACTGTCGCATAGCTTGGGGACCCCGTTTTGTACGCTGCTGCCGGTATTTGCAGGTGTAGCCCAGATCTTGCTTGCTGCATTGCTTGTCTCCCAATGGGCTTTGTGAGTACGTCTGCCAAGTTTCTTGTGGTGTCCACGTACTTGATCTGCACCCTTCCCTCTTGGATGTTGTTACAGACGAAGTGATACTTGGTGTCGATATGCTTAAGCTTCCAGTGCTGTGTTGGGTCCTTACTAACCTGTATGCAACCAGTGTTGTCCGAGTAGACCGTCGGGGTGCCTGTGGCAATGCCAATTGAGCGTAGCAGCTGCTTGAGGAAGAGCACCTCATGTGTTGCTTCCGTGGCTGCAATGAACTCCGCCTCGACGGCGGACAATGATACACATTTTTGTGTCGCTGACTTCCAGGCTACCAGGTTCCCATACACTAACGCCACTGACCCCGATGTACTCCTTCTCTGTATGGTGGCGTCGCTCACCCAGTTTGCATCACTGTGCGCGACCAGTGGCTCTTGCGACTCATTTGCCCTATAAACCAATCCAACCTCCTTTGTGCTTTCGAGGTAGCGTAAGACCCGTTGTGCTGCCTGATAATGCTCCTGTGATGGTTCGCGCATGTGTCTAGCGAGAATGCCCACGGTGAGGCTAAGGTCGGGCCGGGTGCTGTTGGCAACCCAGAGCAGCTTGCCAACGATCACCGGATACTCCTTCTGTTGCTCTGCGCTTGCAACAAGTGTTCCCTCCGGTATGCTCTGCATTGGGACCATGGTCGGCTTTGTACGTTTGTCCAGGTGCTTTGCCAGCACTTGGTCAATGTACCCTGACTGACCAATTGTCATGGTGCGCATCACACGGTCTCGACTGATTTTGATGCCAAGGAAGTGAGAGACCTCACCACTATCTTCCATCTTCCATCTCTGGCCAATCTGCTTCTTAACCTTTAGGACCGTTTCCAGCCGTGGTGCTATGACTAATGTATCATCGACGTAGATGACCACAATGGCCATATCTTCACCCTGTCCCTTGGTGTAGATGCAGGGAGCGCACTCTACCTGGAAGAATCCCATGCGTCGCAAAGACCTGTCGAACTCCTGGTTCCATTCTCGCCTGGACTGCTTTAGGCCATATAAACCCTTGACTACCTTGTACACCTGGCCGGGCGCTACTCCTGATCCTTCCGGTGGCTTCATGTAGATTGCTTCCTTTAACGTGGAGTTCAAGTAAGCCATAGTGATGTCCAGAGCATGCACCTCCCAGTTGTTCTGCACCGCTAGTGCTAAGATGGCTCTGATCGCTCCGAGGGGTGCTACTGGAGAGAAGGTTTCTTGGTAGTCGATCCCCTCTCTCTGTGTGAAGCCCCTTGCAACCAGTCGCGCCTTGTGCTTGACGGGCACACCATCAGCGTCAAGCTTCAGCCGAAGCACAACCTTAGAGTCCACAAGTGGTACTCCTGGCGGTTGGTGCACCACCTCCCAAGTCCCCATTGCCTCGAGTCCTTCCAGCTCCTTTCGTATTGCCTCCTTCCAGAGCTGGGCATCCTCACTGTTCATCGCCTCTCCAAGAGTTGGGTCCAGGTTCAGCACTGCTGTGTTGGCGGTGCCTACTGTGCTGTCTATAGCTGGTAGGAGATCCTCCACCGCAGCCTCTGATCTGGTTTCCTCCTCCACTGTGGTTGGCGTGACACCCTCCTCCTCGACTTCCGCGGTCGCCATGGGCTTGAATGCCTCCTGTTGGCGATCACTCCATCCTTTGTCCTCATGGAACGTTGCTAAGTTGCTCCATTGGATTGACGCGGGCTGGTCCGGGTTGCAAAGCTTCCATGCTTTGTGCTCGTCGTCGTACCCAATCATGATGGCTGGCTTTGCTCTAGCCCCGTACTTGCCTTGCTGGTCCTTCTGTTGAACATGGACCCATGCTAAGCATCCGAAGACTCACAGCTGTTGGACCAGCTTGTGCACGGTGGTTCCATAAAAGGCCTCGTGGGGAATGGTCTTGGTGGCTGATGGGGTGAGGTTCATCACGTGTGCCGCTGCTGTGATTGCATATGGCCATAACTCTCTGGGGCAAGCTTGACCAATGAGCATCAAGCACATCTTTTCTTGGACCAATCTGATCACTCTCTCTGCCCGTCCATTTTGGATACTGATCCCCGGGACGCTCTTTTGCCACTTGAAACCCTCCTGAGTTTGCCAGTCTTCAGCTCCCAAGCTGCACCACTCTCCTCCATTGTCACTGCGGAGCGTTTTGAGTTTCCTGTCAGTTGTTCGTTCCATCCTGGTGATCCACCTTCTCAGCGCCATGAGTGCGGCACCCTTAGTGCAGAGTGGTTCCACGTAGATCAGGGAGG